CCAATGCGGGGCAGCCCCCACCAGCTGGTGGGAATACTAAGGCAATGACTGTCCACTATGGAGGCCATTGTCCCCCACACAAAGACTCACTGCTCACAGTTCTGCTGCCGGGAGGCGGCTGATGCTGGCGCCCAGCGCACATCTACTTCCCTCCAGGTGGGACACGTTGTTTTTGGAGCTCTGCCAAGCTCAGGATATATCTTTTTCCTCAACCTGGCTTTCCCTACTTCCGTTCAGGTGTATGCTCCCTTCCCCACTCCCAGCCCCCGCTCAATGAAACTTCTGCTCACAATTCTCCCCCCAGAACACCCAAGCAAAGTGACTTTCTCCTTATGGCCACCATTCTTCTGTTAGCTTCATGATGCACGGTATGAACCTCACCCTAGAAAAGTGACTGGTGTGGTTACAAGGGAAATGTTAGATGAAGTTTTAGACCTCATCTAGCAGTTCCGGGATGCCTAAGGAGACCAACAGTATCACAAGTGACAGCACTTTGTGGCTCTCAAAACTGACTTACTCCGGAAGTAACTTGGAAGGTGGATTGAAAAGGATTCCACGTAGCATGAACAGGAGGCACGCCAAGAGACTCAGCCCCGGGGCATGAGGGAAAGTTGGAGAATGGACACACAAAAGGAGAGGCGAGGAAGACTTTCCTATGAGATGAGAGACGTTTGTTTAATTTCCTGGATTACTTCTAAATGGTTTACCAAAAAAAAAAAAAATCCACATCTGTTCATTTACAGCAAAGCCTTTGTAATTAGAGAGCTAATGGCCTCCGGGGGACCGGAGGATGGCTATAGATCTGTGCAAAGAGTTAAAGCACCTGACGTGAGCATGCTTTGGGAAGCCCCACCTGTGTGTACAATGTACTTAAGGGATTAAAGCACACTTTGAAATTATGATCTGTTGTACCTAGAGCATGCACCTTACTCTTTAAGCTTCTATTTCCTTCAAGGAGGAGAGAGAGGAGGAGAACACCAATTTTCCTAGCCATCAGGTGCACAGGCTTGTGGGCTTTGCTGAAGCTTTAAGTGCAGAGGGATGAGAGATGTGTGAGTTGCACATTTAATTTTAACATGATAATACAACTTGTATCCCATGCTTGTGATTCCATTTCAGAGATGTCACTCAAAAGAGGCCTGTTTGGGGTCTGGATGCAAATGATGTGTGTGTGTGTGTGTGTGTGTGGATGTGTGTGTGTATTTGTCCTGGGACTTGAACTCAGGACTTGGGCACTGTCCTTGAGCTTTTCTGCTCAAGGCTAGCACTCTACCTACCACACTCCACTTCTGGCTTTATAGTTAATTGGAGATAAGAATCTCATGGAGGGCTGGGAAGGTGGCTCGGTGGTAGAGCACTTGCCTTGCATGCTCGAGGCCCTGGGTTCGATTCCTCAGCACCACATAAGAAAAAAGCCGGAAGTGGCGCTGTGGCTCAAGTGGTAGAGTGCTAGCCTTGAGCTGAAGAGCTGAGGGACAGCGCCCAGGCCCAGAGTTCAGGCCCCACGACCGGACCCAAAAAAAAAAAAAAAAAAAAAGAATCTCATGGACTTTTCTGCCTGGGCTGGCTTCAAACCAGGACGCACAGATCCAGAATAGCTAGGAATACAGGCATGAGCCACTGGTGTCCAGCTGCAAGTGAGTTTTTTTGAGAGATGCTGGAGTAAGAGGGTCAGTGTAGAGCGTTCTAGCATGGGGGGGTCAGGGGGACACTGGGATGTCTGTGTTCTCCATGCTTCCTTTAAAGTCTCCCAGAAAGGTAAGTAAATATTCAATGGACTTGTCTTACACAGGATGTTATCTGGGGCTGAAGCTGGTGATTCGTAAAGTGAGGCTTGAAGTATATTCTCCAGCCAGGCGCCAATGGCTCAGGCCTGTAATCCTAGCTACTTAGGAGGCTGAGATCTGAGGATCGTGGGTCGAAACCAGCCTGGGCAAGGAAAGTCTGTGAGACTCTTATCTCCAATTAACCACCAGAAAGCTGGAAGTGGTGCTGTGGTTCAAATGGTAGAGTGCTTGCCTTGAGCCAATGAGCTTAGGGATAGCCCCCAGGCCCAGGTTCAAGCCCCATGACCAACAGAAAAAAAGAAAAAAAAAAGGAGTCTTTTCCATCCTCTTGACTTCCCAGGAAGCCGGGTGGGCCCATTTCTAAACAAAGGACCTTCATCAGCTAGCCACTAAAGTTGGGGCTTTGAATAGTTTGAAGGCCCTAGCATGGCAGATGGGTTGAGGATGGGAGACTATGATAGCCAGAAATATATGTTAAGTTAAATGACACACAGTTTCCAGGAGTCTGAAAAATCACACATGGATGTGTCTAGTAATGACATGGAAATTTTATTTTTAAAAAATGCTCATATGTTGCAAAAATACATAGAAAAATAGAATTTGATGGGGCACTTTGCTCAACATGAAGTCACAGACTTTTTATGATACAGCTCAGAGTAAGGTTTGTTAACTCGTTTATGAAACAGGAGAGAAATAGGTGAAATAATCCAGAGCACCACCATTTATTTATTCACCCCACAGAGACCGAAGGATGAGTTCTTCAACTCGCGTTCCTACCAGTTCAGGTGTGAGTGGACTGACCACTTTCAATGGGTAAAGAGCAAGAGAAATTCATAAGTAATTTTAAATACCACTTCCCCCCCAATACAATCTGCATCCCAGTAAAAGTTTGAATCCTGACAGAACTGCAGGATTTAGTGGTGGGGTGGGGGAACTGAATATTAGGAAGTTGCCCCTAAATACTAGTCTTGATGAAAGTGTCCACAGGAGAAAACAATTGGGGCTCCTGTGTCTTTTGCGAGTTTTACACTGTGAGGTGGGGCTCAGCAGCACAGGGTATGAACAAATACTTCACCACAGAGCCTGAGCCATAGAAAAAGGGGGCAAAACCTGCCAACTTTCCATCAGCTGACTTTGGGCAGTAACAATAAACTGCCCCTGTTAAGGGGAGGAAAGTGCAGGTTTTTCCTTCACATAGATTTAAGTGGTGGAATGGAGACTTTGTGGCCTTGGGAACTTAACTTGCTAGTAAAGTTGTAGGTTAGTTCCTGATGGGTAGAAATGGATGATCACCCACATTTCTTTTCTGCTGGCTGCTCATTCTTTTTAAAATCACGAGGCACTGGGCACATCCCCAAAGCATTTAGACAGTTGGCTTATCTGGTGATAGACCACAATAACATTGTGTTTTTTGGGGGTGGGGGGTAGATTTCTTTTCCTTAGCCTCTTCCTGCGAAGTGCTCTCAGCCCTCTTCACTTGCTCTGTGATCTGGGCTGACCTCCCTCAGCAGGACCCTCCATCTCCTCTGGAGATCTCCAGGGCACCTACCTACTGATTCTTCATCTGACACTATGTTCTTGCTTCCACGTGGAAACCTTTCCCTCTTCCCTCTGCCTGCAGAGATCCCCAGGGGTTCTCAGACTTTGAACAGTAACAACACAGCTGGCAGAGAATCCTATAAAAGCTCCACTGACCTCTTGAGCTGTCAGGTCTTTAAATAGGATTTGCGATTTAATGCTGTATATTTTTAAAGGGAAGAAATAAAGGAGGCTACTTTTTTTTTTTAATATGTCTTTTGACCAATTCAAAGTCTGCTCCTACTTTTTTTTAAGTCCAGGAAAGATAAAGTTTTTAGAGGGGGAAGGGAGAAAACGAGAAAGCTCAGGTCTCAGGTAAAGAAGGCTGGATTGAAAGAGAGCCTGCCTATGTGTGGTCTTTTTAGAAAATAAACAAACAAAAAGAATGGAAGGAGAGGCCTTACCTCCCCTAACTGTCATCTCTGTCAGAATGTAGTATAAACTCTAGCCTGAATCCTGGTGCTTGTGGCTCATGACTGGGATTCTAGCTACTCAGGAGGCTGAGATTTGAGGATCATGGTTCAAAGCCAGCCCAGGCAGAAAAATCGTGAGACTCTTATCTCCCATTAACCAGCAAGAAGCCAGAAGAGGACGTATGGCTCAAATGGTAGAGCACTAGCCTTGAGCAAAAAGCTAAGGGCAAGCACTCTGGCCCTGAGTTCAAGCCCCAGTACCAACACACACACACACACACACACACACACACACACACACACACACACACACACACACACACACACACACACACACACACACACACACACACACACACACACACACACACACACACACACACACACGGCCCTAGCCTGAAATCTCCAGCTAGGGCAGAGAGGATTGGCAAAGGTCTTTTCAGTTTTTACTATAAAAAAAAGGCAATGGCCCTGGCTTGAAGCACAGAGACCCTCCTCAGCCCTTCCTTGGACAGGTGGAGAGGCTTTGGGTATGGCCCCACCTCCTTGCAGTCAGCTCTGTTTATACAGCTTGTCTGTAAAACTCACAGTGAGTGCATCTTGTTCTACTTAGGCCACCCTGTAAATACTTCCATTGGAAGGCTACTGAAAGAGGAACAAGAAGCTGATGCTCTCACCCCCGGCTTCCCCCCCCCCCCCATGTGTCCCTTGCTAACCTGCAGAGCATGATAGGTTTTTTTGAGACCCTCTATTCGCCCTCACTTTTATAAGGACAGAGAGAAACCCTGGCCATATTCCAAGGCCAACAAGAAGCTTTTGAACTTCAGTTTAATTCAGTAGGTGACATCTGTGTCTTGGCTGCCCTTTCTTCCTTTAGGCTGGCTTTTTTCAGCGTAGATAATCAATCACCCAAGAGATGGGAGCTGCTGCCAGCTCAGGAAGGGGTGTAGATGGCTGTTCACCCAAAGTCATGCAAAAGCACTGACAAAAGCCTGGATTTCCCATCTTTCTCCTCCAAACAGGGAGGTCACAGAGGTGACCTACAGTATGTCCAAGGGGAACCATTTAAACACTAAGCGAGTCACTGGTCCACCATAAAGGACCACCAGCAGGCTGGGGGTGCATAGCTCTTCCTCCCCAGCTCTCCCTGACCTCAGGCCCCCTCACTTTCCTCGGGGGACAGACAGTTTGGGACCATCCACGGTTGGCATCTCAGTTGGCATTACCAGAAAGTAGGGCTCCAGCTGCCCAGACAGTACAGGTAGGGGTAGTAGGGGTAGGTGTTGTACACAGAGACCAGGGAGGCCCGAGAGAAGCCCTCTTCTTTGAGGGCTGGCATGGAGGAAGGCTTCTCTAGGTCTCCCAGGTCAGCAGAGAGCTGCTTTCGCTTCGTCTTATAGCGTCTGTTCTGGAACCATATTTTCACTTGGGTCTCGGTGAGCTTGAGGTTCTTGGCCAGGTGAGCCCTTTCAGGGGCTGACAGGTACTTCTGATGGCTGAACTTCCTCTCTAGCTCGATGACCTGAGTGTGGGAGAAGGCTGCTCGAGATCGCTTCTGTGGCTGCCTGGTGGCCTGGGAAGGGCTTGGTAAGGCGCCCGAGGTACGCTCACAGCCCAAAAGATAAGTCTCAAAATGCCTATCTGGAAAGAGAGAGGGGAGGAGGGTGGGAGGGGGAAACGTTACATGGCAGCGTGGAATTCCATCCACTGGTATCTCTTCAGGGAGTGAACCAACGGCCCACGGTTATCTTAGATACACTGCACTATTTTCGCATGAGTCAGAAGCTCTCGGGAGTGAGGAAGAAGCGCATTCATATATTATGGCCTCTCATTTTCTGGCGATCAGCAAGAATCAAACTTTTTTGTTTTTTGTTTTTGTTTTTTTTTTTTTGGTGAGAGATTTTTAAAAAAAATCTATTTTCAAGGCGCTGTACAAAGAGGTTTCAATTCAACATATCCGTTTGTAAAGCGCAATGCATCTTCTAAAGGTTTTTTTTTTTCTCTCTCTGTCTCAATAATCCTCCAGTTGAACAAAGGGATTTCAAGTCAACATACTAGTTTGGGAGTACATTGCATCTTGATCGGTGTCATCCCTTTCCACCCCCACCCCTCCCCTCAACTTACCGGGTGCCCTGTGCACTGAACACTCGGACTGCATTTGCCCTCCTCCCTTCCTCTTGTCCACTCATCTGCCTCCCCCCTCCCCGCCCCCCTGACCGGCTCTCGGTCATCTTGTGGAGGACACGTTAGAATGGGGAGTCTGGCCTGGATGTCTGGAGGGGAGGGGGGAGCAGGGGACAGGGAGGTGTAGAGGAAGATGACAGGGCTGGGGGGGAGGTATCCAGGAGAGGCTGGAAGGTGCATGGCCAGTTCCTTCTCAAGCTGTGATCACCGACCCCTCCCTCCTGTCCCCCCCCCCCCCAAAAAAGAGGAATAAGGTTGCTGCGTGCAAAACGATGGCAAAGGAAGCGAACTCTAAAGATCCCCATGGCGTTCTTCCTCCGGAAGACTCAGAAGCAGCACCCAGATGGGACTTTTTATGGCTCCTGGGGCTGAGCAGCAAAGGAGAGTCTCTGCCCTTCATCGCGGGCCGCCCCGCTCTGGGCTCCTCGCGCTGGGGTTCGGGATTGATCCCCGAGGCGCGCGCACGCGTCCGGCCACGGCTGGGACCAGGGGTCCCTCCGCCCGCACCCGCGGGCCCCGCGTCCGTGCACCCCGACCTCCAGGAGCTCCTTGGGCGGGGGGGGCGATCTCCCTCCCCGGGCAGCCGCCCCGGGCCTCGCGGGCTTACCGGGCTCGGTCCTCGTCTCCTCCGGTGCGGCGCGGAGCCCGGCGCGCAGCGGCTCCTCCAGCGCCCGGACGCGGCCTCTTCCAGCCTCGGGTCCCGCCGCACCGTCGGGCCCGGGATCGGACTGGCGCGGGGGCTGAGCGCTGCCCGGGCGGCCGCCGCCGCCGCCGCGCCGCTCCGTGCGGTCCCGCAGGATGTCCTGGATGAGGAAGGAGGTGAGCGGCTTGGACGGGGTGGGCGGCGCGGGGTCCGGGCTGCGTCCCGCCGCCTCCGCCTCGACCTCGGCCTCCGCGGGCCGCGGCTCCGCGGCTCTGAGCATCCCGCCCGCCCGCGGCGCCCGCCCGTACCACTCTCGCGCTCCGCCACCCACGCGCACTTATAGCCCCGGAGCGCATCGCGCCGCCTTTCCATTGGCTGCGGAGACCCGGCGGCGCCGCTGATTGGCTGCTCCGTGCTCCAGGTGACCCCCGCGGAGAGGGCGAGCCCTGGGCCCGGCCCGGCGCGGCTCGCACCTGGACCCCTTCCCGGGAGGACGCGCGGGTCCCGCTCACCGCCGGAGGAGCGAATTAACGACGCGGGGAAAGCGCTGAAGTCGCCCGCGCCGGCCGTCAGGGCGCCTTTGCCCATCCAGGTAAGCGGGGCAGGCGCCGCCGCCTGCATTGGAATGGGACCCGAGGGCCGGGCCAGATGCACTCCGTGCGGGGCGTGTGGCACCGGCCTGGGGCTGGGTCCAGTGCTCCTCGGCGTTGGGGGCGAGCGGGGCGAGCGAGGTGAAGGTGAAGCTTCCCGAAGTCGAGCCCAGAACGGCGATGGATTGTGCGAGCACCGCTGGTGTCGAGGCGAAGGCGGTCGGAACCCCGGGGATAAATAGGTCCCAGGACATAGCGCCAGTGGGCTCACAGGTGGCGAATCTGGGGAAAGATGAGGCTGCAAGGCTTTCCAACTACTACTTTCTTTATTGTTTCAATCTTTTAAATAAGTTTTTATTGTGAAAATACCGTACAGAGGGGTTGCGGTTACATGAGCAGGTCAGGAGTGCATTTCTAATCCAGCATTGTTGCCTCCTCCTTTGGTTTTCCCCTACCATCCATCCCTGCCCTCCCATCTCCTCAACTACACTCCCCCCACCTCCCTCCCCCTCCCGCCGCCAAAGTTGTAAAGTTCGTTTTTCGACATAGCATCTTGTACTTCTCATTGTTGCAGTGGGTCCACCTGTATCCCTAGTTAAACATTTTTTTCCTTCCCTTCCCCAAATTATACCGACATCAAATAGAGTGAAAACAGGGGTTATACCGTGGGAGAGGGACATACAAAGCAACAACAACAACAAATCACCTTATAAATATGTTAGAAACAATAGTAAGAAAGAAAAAAAACATTTGAGTCCTTATTTTGGGGTTCATTTTGCTTAACATCATCTTATCTGGTCATATGTACATAGCTTTTAACCTTTTCTGCTTGTCCCAGACATATACTAGTTATTGCAAATAAGGGAAACCATAGGACCTATGTTTCTTTGGGCCTGGCTTACTTCATTTAATATAATTTTTTTCCCAAGTCTTTCTATTTCCTAACAAATGGGGCAATGTCATTCTTTCTAATGGAAGCATAGAATTCCATTGTGTATTTATACCACGTTTTCTTGATCCATTCATCTACCGAGGGGCATCTGGGTTGGTTCCATATCTTAGCTATGGTAAAATAATGCTGCAATAAACATAGTTGTACTGGTAGCTTTAGTGTGGTCTTGTTTGTGATCATTTGGGTAAATGCCCAAAAGTGGGATTGCCGGGTCATAGGGGAGCCCTATGTGGAGTCTTTTGAGGATCCTCCATACTGCTTTCCAAAGTGGTTTTTCAACTACTTCTGAGCAATGTTTGTGTCTGTTCAGGTCGAATCGAACCACCTTCCATTTAACTGGAATCTTTTCGAAAGGATATTCTGAATGCTGGGGCAGAGAGGATGGATATATATATATACATACCTACATATATATATATATGTTGTTGTTCTTGTTTCTTGTTTGAGACAAGGTCTTTCTTTGTAGCCCCGGCTGGCTGCCTCAGCTCTTCCCCCAAGTGTTGGGATTACAGGCAGGCACCACAGGTCCAGCTGAGAAGAGGTTATTGAAGATACAGCCATGACCAAAGAGTAGGCCCAGGGATCCTTTCCACGTAGCTGGCTTGCTTCTGTCATCTTCTCTAGGCTTTGTTTCCTTTTCAAATTTGAACTTGGTATAGATTTGAAAAATGGATTCCTCCAGTGTCCTCTGTATAGCTGTGGGACAATATACGGAGCAGAAGATGGACAAGGCTACACTGCTGTTAGCTCTATTACATGCCTCATTTTTTAAATCATTCTGAAACCGCATTCATTTGTGAGTGTGTGTGTTGTGAGTGCACGTGTGTGTGTGTGTGTGTGTGTTGTGAGTGCACGTGTGTGTGTGTGGGGGGGGCTATGCAGTCAAATCACAGGTACAGTCATGTAATTATCACAGTGAAGACAAGGAATTGTTACACCACCATAAAAGGACCCCTGGCCTTCTGCTCTGGGTCCACACACCAATTCTCTCCTGTCTGGGGCCCTGGCAACTTGTCATCTGTGCTCCATGCAGATAACGTTATGCAAATAGAGTCAGACATCCCATGGCATGTGACCTTGGGGACTGGCTTTCGTCATGCAATCCCTGGATTCCCAAGGGCCACCCAGGTTATTGCTTCAGTGAATAGCTTCATGTTTTGCTTGGTAGGCTGTTTGAGATAGAGTCTTGAAATGTAGTCCAGGCTGACCTCGAATTTGCTATCCTGCTGCCTCAGATTCCCCTGTGCTGGCATTACAGGTCTGCACCACTGTGCTCCATCAATGTATTCTTTTTGGTTGCTGAATATTATTCCATGGTTTGGATCTACCAGAGTGGGTTCAACTCTGCCCTCACTGAAGGACTCTCCAATTGTTCACACGTTGCTCTGCTCTGATGCACGAAAGTGCCGAGCACATTCGTGCAAGGGCTATGGTTTGGGTGAGTGTCCCCCAAAGCTTCAGATATAAAGGCTTGGCTCTCCTCAGTGGTGTTATTGGGAGATGCTCTAAACCTTGAAGCTGCTGGGTTCAGTAGGACGTCCTTAGATCATTGGAAATATGCCCCCAAAGGGATTATGGGACCCTGGGATGTCTCTCTTCCTCCTCTACCTCTCCCCTGTCTGTCTCTTTCCCTCTGGCTGCGGATGTGAGCATCTTCTCTGACACACACACAGTCCCACCCTGGCCTGTGACCCAAACTGATGATGAGGCATCTGAATTTGGTCTGAGCCTCCAGACCCATAAACTCAAATAAACCTCTTTACCTCATAAGTAGTTTATGCCAGGTATTTGCTCCCAGTCACAGAACATGGAGTGATTCAGCAGGCTGCATCTCTCCAGGATAAATGCCCAGATGGCAATTGTGGAGTCATATGGTAAACATAAGTGTAGTGGTGTGAGACACAGCCCGGCTACTCTGCCAAGGAGTGGTACCATTTTGTATCTCCTTGAACGATGTGTGAGTGTCAGCGTCTCCTCAACCCCAGCAGCATTTGCCGTTGATGCCATTTTTACCTGTTAAAAGTTGGACGGTGCCATCTTACTGTGGTCTTAATTTTAATTTGCATTGGACAGATGACTAATGGGGTGGAATGTTATTAAAGGTTCTGATTTGCCACCATGTATCTTCTCTGATGAAATATCAGTGTGACTTTGCCTTGGTTTGAACTGGCTTTTCTATATTTTTGTTGCTGAATTTTGGCAGCTTGTCTTGTTCACTGAGTTTTGGCCTCTGGGACTTGCATTTGATAGGTGGGTGCTCTATCATTTAAGCCAGGCCTCCCACCCTTTTTGCCTTCACTATTTTTCCAAATAGGGTTTCACATGTCCAGGAAGTCTGGACCATGATCCTCTTATTTCAACTTTCTATGTAGCTGGGATGCCAAACGTATGCAACCCAACTTTTTTTTTTTTAATTGCGATGGGTCTTTGCCCAGATTGGCCTCTGTCAGCTATTCTGCTGACCTCTGACTCATGAGTAGCCATGTGACTCACTGCGTCTGGGTCAGTAGTTATTTATGCATTGTATATGTATAAACCTTGGTTGGATCTGTGGTTCGAAAGTATTAGCCCAATTTGTAGCTGTGTTCTCTTTCCTTTAGCAGGAGCTCTCAAAGAATATGATTTTGATTAGGATAAGGTCCAGTTGGTTGAGTTTTTATTTTACAGAGTGTAATTTGGGCATGATGTTCAAGAACTTTTTGCCCAGCCCTAGAATGGAAGATGGTGATCTATGCCCCATGCTTTCCTCTTAAACCCTGTGATCCCTTTGGAATTAATGTGCACAGTGTGAGATTTCAGTTCAGGTGGCTTCTTTTCAGTCTTAGCATTTAAAACTGGGTGACATTTCAAACCACTGAGGATATTGTGCATGATTTAATAGCCAGTGCTGCCATTTGGAAAATATAAAGTCCTATTCTTACAGCAAAATAAGCCCCAGATGGCTCAACAATGTAAAGTACAAACAGGCACATAGGGGAAAAAAACAACCATGACCACATTTGTCATTAAAGAAATGCAAATCAATGCCACATTGAGATACTGCTTGCTACCTATTAGAATGACAAACTTGAGGGGGAAAAATGCATGTTACTGGACTGTGAAGGAAATGAGGAGGAGTGGCTATGAGAAAACCAATTCTGTGTATTTGGCTGGCAGTTTGACAGCCAATGGATAGCGGACATATCCTGTGACACAGCTATCCCATGCTTACAAGATTGGCCCTGGAAACTCAGTATATAATGTACTCACTCAGAATCCATCTTCGGTGGGCTCAGACCAGCCCAAGTTAACAAAATATGTTATCGAATGAATTGATAGTGTATAAAAGTAGCTACAAGGGGCTTGGAAGGTGGCTCAGTGGTAGAGTGCTTGCCTTGCATGCATGAGGCCCTGGGTTCGATTCCTCAGCATCACATAAGCAAAAAGAAAAAAAAAGCCGGAAGTGGTAGAGCACTAGCCTTGAGCTGAAGAGCTGAGGGACAGCACCCAGGCCCAGAGTTCAGGCCCCACGACTGGACACCCCCCAAAAAAAGTAGCTACAAGTTACTCATATATGTTTTATACACAAGGATGACAGACAGACAGATACACATTCACACATACACATTTCTTTTTCAATAGATCAGTTCCCTCTGCTCTGAGATGAAAAAGGCTGGGAAGAAAAGGAATAGTGTACATTTCTTCATGGCCACTTAGAGTAAATTAAAAAAATTACAGGGGCTGGGAAGGTGGCTCAAG